ACCAATAAGAAACTAGAAACAGTTCCTCATCTGAAAAGCCTGTCAATGTATATGTGATTTAAGATTGATGATAAAAGGTCTTAGAATATAGGTGTTACACGTTACTTTGGCTTTTTGTCTTTCTGAATTCCTGTTTTCTATATGGTCATGTTTGGGGTGACCCTTGATGTGGCACTGTGGGATAAGCACTGGACCAGAAGGTCAGTGTGAACTACAAGGTTGGCTGGTCACACTCACCAGTTGTTCCTTGGAAACTCTATACAAGGTCACTATGAGTTGGAATAGATTTGACTGCACATAACAAGTATCAAAATAACAGTAGCAGTAACAATGGGCTCAAAAATAGCGACAGGAGGATGGCACAGTACAGCATTTCCTTCTGTTGTGCATAGTGTCGTTATGAGTTGGAACCAACTCAACAGCACGTGACAATAACAAGGGTCGAAATCTTTGCCCCAGGAGCTTTGGTAGCGTAGTGGTTACGAATTGGGCTGTGAATCACAAGATCAGCAGTTTGAAACTACCAGCTGCTCCGTGAGAGAAAGATGAGGCTTTCTGCTCCCATAAAGATTTATAGCCTCGGAAACCCTGTTCAGGATCACTATGGGTCAGAACCGACTTGACGGCACTTACCAACAACAAGGCGCTATAGTGGAAGCCTTGGTCTATACACTGAGGTTTGCTGCAATGCCTGCCAAATAGGATTCTCTGACTCAGAAAGCAGCATAAGGAGCAGTGACTATCAGCATCCAACTCAGGAGCTTTTCCATCTATATCTCGCTGTACCTGAATTATTGACACTTGTAAAATGGAAAACATCCTATAAAATATTGCAATAGAATGTGTATCTACATTTCCTGAACTTAAGAATGGAAAGTATTCCTTTGTGTGTTTACAAGACTTGGGGTCCAGTTTTAGCTCTGCCACTTATTAGCTAGGTCACCATGTTTGCCTTCGGTTATGCATTCATAGGAGTCCTGGTGTGGCGCTGTGGGTTAATGCGCCAGACTGCAAAGCAATTTGAACTACAAGGTCAGCAGTTCAAGCTCACTAGCTGCTCCTCGGAAACCCTATCCAGGGTCGCTATGGGTCAGAACTGACTCGATGGCACTTCATGACAACAACATGCATTCATAAGATATCCAATAGATAAAGGATGGTGGATTGAAAAGGATTTTAGAGATTTGCATTTCTCAACTTTAAAAATGGGTGTATGTCCCTGTTTATCAAGGGGATTTCATATAGTAGTATTTAAGGATTTTTTCATCGTAAATGCAAAGTATAATGGTTTTGCTTTTTCAAAACCATTTTGCTCCTTCCCATCCTGATAGCTGTCTGCATTCCTAATCTTAACCTCCTCAGAGAGTTGAGAACCACTGAGGTAAGCCAATCTATGATTCCAGCCAAACTGGGATAGACGTTTGAACCCAACAATGTCTCTCATTCTCTTCACCTCTAGGTATCACTAGGCATCTTCTTTTTCACTGCCTCCACCCTTACTTAGGTCCTGTTGCTTAGTGGGGCCAAGTAAAGTCACCCACTGTTCCATCCTGGAAGTCCTTTCTGACTTTTCTTCTTCTCTTGGCCCTTATAAAATCAAATCCATCTTCACTGGACTGGTTGTCAGGGACTTCGAGTATGATTTCAGTGACCGCCGTAGCCTTACTTTAAGCTGTTTCCATGTGTATCTTGTCCTGTATTACGTAAAGATAACTCACATTTCACCATCCAGAGCCCTCCCTCCTCCTCTGCCTGCCAAAATACCTACTATCTCCCCAAACTCATCTTAACCACTTCTCCCCTACCTTTCAAACAGATAAGCTACTTTCCTTCTTTGAATATCCATGGAGTTTCTTAAAAGTGTATTTGTCATGTTTTAATTATAGTTAGCAATAATACCTTGTTCTTGTTGTTGTTAGGTGCCGTCGAGTCGGTACTGACTCATAGCGACCCTCAAAAGCATTAATGCCTTAGGCAACTTTATATGACCCAAGAATCCTAAGACAGCAATGTGTTCACATTTTAAACCAAGTTCTGTAATAAGTATGTTCACATCATGCATATCCAATAGGAGGAGTGTGGTGGTTCCATGTGATAAGCTCTGGACTGTGAAACACAAGATCTCTGGTTCAAGTCCACCAACTGCTCATCAGGAGAAAGATAAGGTTTTCTGCTCCTACAAAGATTTAAAAGCCTCTACAGGGTCCTTATGAGTTGGAACCAACTTGATGGCACTGAACAACAACAACAACATATACAGTATAGTATAATACATATTATATTTATATTTGGTCCTTGCTGATATTTCATTTTCTGTTCTATTTTATTTCTTTTAATGTTAGTTTAAATTGATTTCACAGCTATTTGCCATAGTTAAGGGGAAAATAAAATATATTGCACATGGTAGGTATAGTATTTTATGTGTTTAATTGAGTTGAATGAAGTTATTTTCCAGATATGACTTATTTGTGAATATATTCAGTTAATCAAGTGGGACATA